AGGAAAAATAACGATTATTTCTAACCTTAAGTATGAAGTATGAAAGGATGAATAGTGAAGAGTAATGATAAACGGAAAAATAAAGTGTCCAGGGATGGGAATCGAACCCACAGTGTTCCGCTTACCGGGAAGATGCCATGTCCACTAGGCTACACTGGACATACTTTTTTTCCGTTCGTAATTTTCAAATGTCGTTCTACAATCATAAGCCGTATTATATTGTATTATAAATTACTTTTAAATCGTATTAGACCTGGCTATTAGAAACCTGGTTCCAAAATAACTTTACTAGGCACCGCTCAAAAAGAGAAACCTAGCTTATGATAATTACAACAATGAATAATATGTGAAGGTTATTTACATATTAAAACAAAGTGTCCAAGGCAGGATTCGATTCTGGTTCATGGCTGTCGGGAATCGAGGGTTTTAACCACTCGTTCACCGAATTCTTTTTTTTTACATTGAATATATTATTTCACAATATCTAACATATACAGGGTGATTCAAAAGTCTTGCACAGCTTTGAAAATTAATAACTCCGCGAATATTTGCGCTAGAGCAATGCGGTAAACACCATTGTGTTCAGGATGCAATGGGATTTTTTGGGGCGAATAGTGAAAAATTCGAAATTGATTTTAGTTACAATTTTATTTCCTAGATGGCGCTCTACCAGAATCAGAGATTCAGCGGTCTAATTGTTTGATAAATTGAAAAATTTAACTGATCGACACGTATTTTTCCTTTTTGAATACCAGGAAAGAACCCTAATAATATAAAATGATAAATTAATAAAACACCATTTCTCCCAAAGTAGAAGAATTGGATGACGATTTTTAAATGCAATCCGAGATATGTAAAACTAGACGAAGGACCCGGCTTCGCCCGAGAATTCCCCCGAGTGCAATTTCTTTCATACTGAAAGTACATCAATAATAAATAGTAGAAGTGCCATAGAGTAGCAATACAGAAGTAAAACATAAACAACAGGCAAAAAGTGTGTGATGGCAAAAATTTTATTATATTAATGTTTAGGTATTTGTGATTTAATTATTTTTTTGCAATCTATTTAGTTGTTTCAAAATCAATATAGTTTAAATAGATGACAGCTTTTCCATCCAACCCCCGAGGTACCCGCCCCAGCGCATTAACCCTTGAAATTGCCTGAGTTGAGAGAGGGACTGCGATGCCCATCTTCTCAGTTAGTATAAGAAAAAATAGGTTTATAAAAATAATTAATCCAAAATACTGGCATGTAAATATTTTTCTGTAAAAAAAAAAAGAGCACATTGAAATTAGGAAAACATATGTGTTTGCTAATGACTGCGACTGTATTTTAAACGATTTTTTTAAGAGATAAAAAAAAACAAAGGCCAGAACAAAAATTACTAAAAAGTACGAAAGCCATTATTTGCATACAGTAACGCTAATTTTGTATATATATTTTTTAATTGCATTGTGTGCACTTACCGTAACTTAGTAATATAAATTTCTCTCTCAATACCTAATACTTTTGCAAAAAAAAAAAGTAACAATCGTATAAAAAGATATTTCAAAAAAAGTACGCAAACAACTTAAAAAAAAAAAATACAGAACGCTCATTGGTCGCTTAATTGGCCTGGTGTTGTTACTTCGCCTCGTATTTACTCCGCGTAAAAAAAAAAGTTCGTCAAATGAAAAAAATAAATACCCAAAAATACTAATCGAAATGTAGCCGAAAATTTTCCTCAGGTTTATAAAAAGCGACATGCACAATTTGGTACCAATTGGTTCAGTAGTTTTTGAGATTATGGCGAAACAGACAACAGACATTGATTTTATATATAAGATGATATAGCCGACTTAAAAAAAGATGACAAAGCTCAATCGGAAGACCTATACCATGGTAGATAAGAAAACAGAAAAAAAATTACTGAAAATCGAAAGATTGGTATACAGGAACTTTTGGGGACATTGGACCTGTCGAAGGGATTAACTCATGCAATTATTTACGGCAATCTGCAAATGGTTAAAAAAGATTTGCATATTTGTCCCTTGACATTTTACACTGGAACATAAATAAGGACTCTCAGAAACATGTTAAACCAGGGGTCGGCAAACTGCGGCTCGCGAGCCATATGCTTTGAAGGTGAAGCTATTTTATAAAGCCCGTTAAAGGGCTTTTGGCGTGAAAGCTAGCTACGTATATTTTAATCAAGAAAGTATTGTTTTAAAATAATATTGACTCGTTTTTTTTTTTTTTAATTCTCGTCCATTTGATAAACTAAAATTGCGATTGAATTTGATGAACAAATCTTTCTACAGGGTTGTGTAGCATTCAGAACAACTGTAATAGACCTAAACAGATGTCAGCACATGATCCTGCTCCAAAATAACTTTATTAGATACCACTCAATTACACACTCAATCACATAATCATGCCCAGCAATGGCCGCAACCTTTCAGAAAATTGACATGAACCCAGAGCAGCAGCTTTACACACCCAAGATAGTGGACATTGTTGCTGCTGTGATAGAAATGCATGGAGACATCTGAGGCTCTTCATTGGACACGACAACAACAACATAAAATTGACATGGATCCAGAGCAGCAGCTTTTCACACCCAAGATAGTGGACATTGCAACTGCTGTGATAGAGATGCATGGGGAGATCTGAGGCTCTTCATTGGACACGACAACAACAATATAAAATTGACATGGACCCAGAGCAGCAGCTTTATACACCCAAGATAGAGGACATTGCAACTACTGTGAAAGAGTTGCATGGAGACATCTGAGGCTCTTCATTGGACACGACAACAACAACAGAAAATTGACATGAACCTAGAGCAGCAGCTTTACACACCCAAGATAGTGGACATTGCTGCTGCTGTAATAGAGATGCACGGGGACATCTGAGGCTCTTCATTGGACACAACAACAACAACTCAAAAGAGAAACCTGGCTTATGTTATTTACAATAAAAAAATATGAACAAGTTCTTACAAAAAAAAAGTGTACAATGCGGGATTCAATCCCGGTTTATGGCTGTCAGAAACTGACAGTTTATTCCGCTGGATACCAATTCTTCTGCACATGATCCTATGGATTTTTAAAGTGTACTTGTACATTTGGAAATTCGAATCAGAGTATCTACTTCGTCATTATAGCATTTACCTTGTCTTAGGTCTTTAAATGCGGAAGGTATTTTTTTCTAAGATTACTAAATAAAATGTTTTTGGATTTTTGTATAATTTTCTAAAATTCCGGGAAATTTAATGTATGTACATTGTACCAAAAGAATCACCCTTCGTGTTAAAAATGCATTGAAACAATACATTTTGGTTCATCTCCCCAGTACAAGACAGAGGTAAAAAATGAGCCACAACACCAGTTTTGGCAAACTCAGACTAAAAAGCCAGCCTGTATACAGTGATTTCGGGCTATGGCCCTCATCAGTACACACCCGGCTTCGATTTCATAACATCCTACGAGAGGAGTTATGGAATCGGTCAAATTTGCAAAAATGTGTTTAAGCTGGTCAAGTAGCAGGAGGGATGGAATGGTAGACTTTGTAAGATCACGGTTACTAGAGTCATGAGCAGCACAAAGAGAGCAAGCCATGCGGCCGGCCGCCCCCACAGGTAGGTTCCGAGTGAGTGACCAGTGTGTCAGTAAACTCGTGAGACCAGCTGCCGGCCACGCGAGGACACTGACAATGGGGACATCTCGGACTGTCTTCTGCTATTTATACGACGTACTACTTCTCGGCGGGTTGTATTTTACGCAGCTTTTGTCTTTTTTCAATTATCATCGACAATCGACAATAATTTTATTGACATCTTGTGAATACATACAAAAGTGCACAGTCTGTACTATTTAATAAAGATAATTAAATATATATATGCATGATACTATGTACAATGAATATGGCGCCTCTGCCACCGCTGCAGAGTTTGGTGGAATATCGCCGACGGGTCTCCAGCGACACCACGTATTTCGCAATCTATGAAAAATACGTAGAATATCATCAATTTATCTGCAAACATACTCGAAAATAATTTGTTTTCAATTGATTTAAATATCCAGGATATCAATCAAACAAATGCTACAGGTTTCTGGAGATGTGTTTCTTTATCTTTAATAAACGTTATCTCGAGCTTTCGGGAATCTCTGCCTTTCTACAGGAATATACATAGAAACATATATAATTTTATTAAAACGTTTTTATAGCGACATAACCTCGACACCTAGAATTTCGAGACCTATAATGATAAGAGAATATGGTTTAATAGGCTACTAACCAAAGTGTATGATTTTTGAGCCCAAGTAAGGTCGAGAGGAGACACAATACCGATACTGAAAGAAATTGATTCTTCTTGTTTCAGTAGGCAACTCCGTTTTACGTATAAGACCTATACCATGTAATACACACACACACACAAAAGCCTTTATTAAGACACACAGGTCTTACAGAGGATTCTCCTTGGGGTTCCAAGACGGAGAAACCTATGAAAGTGGGAAATAAAAAATGGAGAAAGATTATATACATATGGTAAATATATACAGATTATAAGAAAGAATAAAAAAATAAGAAAAAAAATTGGAAATATGGATGGGAGAAGTGGAGAGCGAAAAGAGGAAAGAAAACAGGTATTTACATATGGGACAAGTCAATTCAAGCTCTTCTGCTCACACAGCACAGGTTATACCATGTAATACGTTTCGTACTCGGTAAGGTCGAGAGGAAACAATACCGATACTGAAAGAAAATGAATCTTCCTGTTTCAGTGGACAACTTTGTTTTACGTATAAGACCTATACCATATAATACGTCTCGTATTCGGTAAGGTTGAGAGGAAACAATACCGATACTGAAAGAAAATGAATATTCCTGTTTCAGTGGACAACTCCGTTTTACGTATAAGACCTATACCATATAATACGTCTCGTATTCGGTAAGGTTGAGAGAGAGAATATAGTTTTACGGGCTACTAACTAAAGTGTATAATTTTGTAATAAGGCATCCAGAAGGTAGAATGGAACCACTCCGCTTCTAAGAGACTACAAGTTTGAAGCCTGCATCCCAGACCTCCCGAAGTTCATCTGAGTAAAATGGTACGGTAAATATAATGGATAAGAACAATGATCCCAGAATCTCGATGCATAAAGAGATAAAAGTTTGGTGGTACTCACAATGAAGGAAGTTCAATATACATAAAGACAGAAATTCGATGCACATATGAACACTATTTTGAAACCCATGAGAACAGATACTTAGATACCTCTAATGTCCAATGTGAAACATGATCTGGGGAGGTCCCTTACACGTGAATCTTTTGGATCCCACAACATAAGCTGGCCAGACGCTTGTCTCAAGGACACATAATGGCGACCCCCCCCCCCCCCCCCCCCTCTCAAGGTTATCTCAGGGCTGCCTTAGAGCAAAGGGTTCAAGAACCTGATTTTGGTAACTTCCTGTCTTGCCACCGTGCACAACTCCCCTCCCTTATTTACCTTTTCTTTTTAATTAATTCATATCCAAAAACACGGAGTCAATTAACGGCATTTTATTACCTTTTTTTTTTTTGCAAAAATGTTTAAATAAACTATATATGCATAATAACCCTTGCTCTAATCTGAGCCAATATAAAAACTGATTGAAGAAAGAGATATAAGCACAGTTTAATATTTTAAATATTTATAACTCAATACATATATGGAATTTATATGAATTTGATTATAAAATAGGTTTGATTGTAAAATAGGTTTGATTGTCTCGGAATGTTTATAGCTGGTGTTAGACTTTTAGACACTCTTTATACAGTAGAACCTCATGAATACCTAGTGGCAGAGCCAATGCGTCCTTTAGAGAGAGGTGTTCTTTTACAGGAGAATTGCTAATCAGTAAAAATGGGAATTTGGCGGTGAAAATTGTTCTTTGTAGAGCGGTGTCCTCTAGCGAAGGTATCTTCTAATGGAATTTCTACTGTAAACCAAATCTACAATATACGGTGGGGGTACGTGTATATTTAAATGTAATTCTACTGTCCTAAAAGCCTATGTCCATAGTTTGCTCAAATACCATTTCTAAGATTCCACCCTTCAGTGTAGCATATATAAGCAGAATGATCCAATACAGTATTAGAGCTCTAAATTCTGGTAAATTAAATTAGCGAAACCGCTGGGAGGGTTCACCACTGATGAACCAAGCCCTTCCAATATTTTTTTAATCGCAGTAAGGACAGTAGAAGTTTGATTTATTTGTGAAAAGAAACATTCGCGTCTTAATGTTTTCATTTGTTATATATACAGTGGGTTGCACAAATTCCAATAAAATCGTTTCCAAAGGAACAAGCCTACGATGTCTTCGGCATGCTTATTCCCACATGGTCATTTAAGGATGTCGAGTCTGCCGATCTTGAATTTGTATATGGTGTCAATAAAATGTAAACTCCGCCTTTGCCTGTCCCAAGCCCGGATGAAAAAGGAGGAGGGGAAGCAGTAACAAGCTCACTAAAAATCCTGGGCTCAGCTGGCCCGGCTGATAGTACCCTGTAAGGGCTCCTGATCCATGGATACAAGATGAGCAGCGTTTATACTCCATATTAGGAGCGGCTGCACATGGCGTCTGTTACTCATGTCAGAGGCGGCCATTTATTTTGGAGCTAAGTCGGCCTGCCACTGAGTAGTGCTCCCAGTCTTAATGACAAAGGCAGACGCATTCTACTTCACCCAATCATGATGGTTGTCAAATCTCTTTTTCAAAAGTCTCAAGCTTTACAAGCTTGATATCCTAATATGATTGAGTGAAGATAAGAAAGAAGAAGAAGAGGAAGTCAAGTCTGTCGATCTAAATTTGTAAATGATGTCAATAAAACTGTGTGATTTTTTAGTTCAAACAAAGGCGTGTTTAACCTAATTCAAATCAAAATATGGCTATTTTTTCTGAATCAAATTCAAACCAACATATGATCTTAGGAACTAAGGTTTAATTGTTATTATTATGAAAAAGAAAAAGGCATCTCCTTATCGTGCAACTGAAAGTTTTATATATCAACTATTCTCGTTGATTTTTAATTATTCCAGAATTGGTCAAATACCCATTCTTGATTAATCAAAAAAAGCTAAATTTTTTGGCTTCGTCTATCTATATTATTCTATATATACTTGACAATATCAATACAAACCATAGTGTCAATAATAATGGTAATGCTGTCTACTTATATAGAAGCTGTTTGAGTTTGTATCTACCTTAGGGATTGTACTTTTGGAAGCTGGGGCCTCTCTGTGGATTCGATCCAGGATTTTGATTACGGAGGACACCTTATATATATATATATAAAGCGTCTTTACGCAAATATGACTTAAATACCCATTTCTTATTATCTCAGGAAGTCTCTGAGACCAAACCTTTGGTCGTAGATGTACAGTCTGCACCACATTGACGAGGGCCAACAGCCCGAAACTCCTACGTGGTTTACTTTTCTTGATTTATCAATAAATTGAGTTTGCCAAATATTTTTGGAACAAGCTAAATCAACGTTTAGTTGATTTCTTTTCCACTAAATGGCGCTCTGCTATCTAAAAAAAAGGTCATATTAGAGTGGTCAGGCTATGCCATATTTTTATATATATATAATTCACAGAGTAAATGTCACTGGTGAAGAAAGTTAGGGGCTACATCCAAACAACAGCAGTAACTACGAAGCCAAGGTAAGATATCGGCACCCAATTAGAAGCTGAAGCCTTGCCACCGTCGTCTGCTCCACTTCCCACGGTCACATGATCACCGCCGGCAGCTGGAGAGAACCAAATATTTTGTTTTCTTCTCGAACAATATTCTTCATGTAATAAATTACTATTTATTCTTTGGTTAAAATATGTTAAGTATAGATAACACTTTAGAGTATTCTATTTACGATCGCTATTATGTAGGCTGTCTTATTTTATGCGACATATTCTATGATAAAATTTTGTTTAGACGTTTGAAACCAGTTCGTATTCTCAGCCTAACTGCAATAAATCAAAATACTCGCTAATGATAGACTTTAAAAGCTCTCTTATTACCATTTTGATATTTAACTTGTTTTTAAAAATTCGAAACTATTATAGACGCGTATGATTCTTAAAAAAAAAAAAAAAACTCTTTCTACTGCCCTTCCTGCAATGGAAAAATTAATGGGAGGGCTTGGCTCATCAGTGGTGAACCCTCCCAGCGGTTTTTCCAGTTTAATCTACCATACCGCTGTTATATTACATTTTTCGATCTTCCTTTTATAGCGATACTGATGCTAGACTCTTGGAATGGGTATTTTAGATGAACTATGGACATAAGCTTTGAGGACAGAAGAATTACATATTACACATTATTGATTTAATCTTGTGTGTATTCTATCTGCCCGGAAGTCCAACCCCTCCTCTACGTGGAGAAGGGAGAAGCAGCACAAGGGACTGCCCTGTAGGGTTAAGTACGGTGTCGTGAGCCCCGAGCCGCTACGGTAACCGTGAACAGGGAACTCTGAAATGTGGCTGACTAACGGGGCAATGGTACCTCTCCTTTCCATGGAGGGGACAAGACACCACTACCATTCTATCGAGAAAAACAACTCAATACAAAGCAAAAAATTCAAAAATGCACAATAAAAAAAAAAAAAAAAGAATGAATAGGTAAAAAAGGGCGGTAGCGTGTGAATTAATATAAATTTACAAAATTCTTTGGTCTATTTTTTAAACAAGTCAAAATTATTTTATAATATATTTGTTTGGGACATAATAAGCAAAAATTTTACATATATTTTACAACCGATTATGAATACAAGCATCGGTTGAATTAGCTTTAAGGGTAACATAAACTTTTTAAAACATTTTCATCCCACTACTCATATTTTTAGGAACACGTTTGTTTTAAAATGATTACAAAGCGACTCCTGTGTTGAGGATTTATCAACTTTGCTAAAAGGATTTATTTCACTTCATTTTCGGATTGACCATCTATATATAACGAATGTAGACATTAAGACCCGATTGTTTCACAAATAAATCAAACTTTTGCATTTCAAGCAGTTATTGAAGGGAAAATGTAAAAGTGCGGAAGCTTCTCCGGAACATATCATGCTCAGAACTGACAATAGAGGACCTATTTTCCAGGCCTATAACTACCATCGCAAAATTGGAGAGGAGTGGACTTCAGGAATTGGTTTAGCCATGGAGATAAGCACCACCACATTTTCTACTTTTTTCGTCGTAGAAAGGACATGTAGAAGTTTTATTTATTTGTGAAACATTCGTGTCTTAACGCCTTCATTCGTTAGATATTATAATTGTTATTTTATAAATACCTGGAATTTATATATTACTAGCCGAATGACCCAGGCAACGCCCGGGTTTTACCCGATTAAATGTTTTATTCAAATACTATTCGTTACAATTATAAATTGGCGCCCTGGATTTCACTCTTGTGAAACGTCCCGCTCCAAACTTTACATGTACATTATGTCAACTGATATTACATCCCATCTTCACCGCTAGAGGCGCTGCTCGCGAGCGAAAGGATAAATTTGCAAATAACTCGACGAAAATTCGGGAAAGAGACCTGAAATTTTCACTATAAGTTTTTCCAGATTCTTCTATATATACTGTTAAAATTCCAGTCAGATTAGTTACGTATTGTGGGCGTGTATAGCCGACAAACATACACTGACTTTTATATATATATATAGGTATTTTGCAAATCTCAGGAGACCTGAAAGGCATGAAGTTCCTTCGACTTTGCCTGTCAAGAGTTTGATGACTAATGATAGGCTAATTGAGATACAAGATCTGGTATTGTAACTGTTGAGTTTTCCTTACGTAGGCAGTAGAAGTTAAGCCAGTTGAAGTGAGGATTGCAGAAGGGTGTCCAAGCTACTCACAATTGGTAAAAATCCTAGGTTTAAAAACTAAAGATCATCACATATTTTTGGTCAATCTTTTTCTGCTTTGTGAATTAATAACAGATATTTGTTATGAAGGACAATTCTATATACAATTACGAGCGTCATTCTTCATCTCTTAATCAGTTTTCGTCTCTGTCACCGTTTGCTTTTTTTTTTTTTGGAACGGCGCCCTCC